ATAATTTTACGATCCGGTGCATTCCTACTTTTTTTCCATGAAATAAAAAGACTTTCATTGGTTGATTTTTTTATGCTATATATTTATATTTATATACTTATATATTTATATTTTTTGTATGTGTTTCAGATCAATGTGTTGTGTGTGTGCTATAATTGTGTTGATACAAGTGCAACTTGAAGAGGAATTGTGACAATCTGTGAAGGATGAAAAGAGAGGAGGAGGAGGCCTAGAAGAGGCATCATGCATCGGTGGAGCAACTTTGGGGTAAGCGTTATTGCTAACTTGCGTAAAATTAATCATTTTTTTCTCGAATTGTTTTATTACGTTTATTTAAACATAATAATCAGAGAAGAAGAAATTATTTGAAATTTTATTTTTGTGGAGATCTTTTTTCGGAAAATATATAATTATTTGAATGAAAAATAATATTTAATTGAAAGATGAATAAAAAGTTTGATATAAGAATTACCATTTGAAGTTGATCATTTTGAAGAACTGTTTTAATTTGAATTTATGTTTTTGTGTTATAGTATCATCGTAGCTACGTGGCAGATAACTCCACCCGTTGCGCTTCGGATCGGTGAGTGACAAAAAAAATTGAATAATGGATCAGAAAAATTGTATCAGATATATACTTTTATATTGACATATATCTATATAATTATGATAGAAAATGAATATAAAACTTTTTATGATTCTCTATTATCTTAAAATGAATAAGCTACAAAGAATTGTAGCAGATATTCTTAATCTTGGGCTATATTTTTATTATATATTAATTTGGAGTGTTACTTGTGCTTAAAGTACATTTGTACAAGTAAACACATATATTTGAACTTACACGAATAAATATATAATTATCTTGCAAATTGCAAGATAATTGCAACTTGTAAAAAGGTTTTTAAGATAGTAAATTTTGTTAAATAGTTAAACAATTATATAATTATTAAAGTCGAGTCATATAATTATAATTATGAGAAAAGATTTTATTCTTTTTAATAAATGTTTTCTCATTAATGCTAATACTAATCGGTATTTTGACGTTATAATCTAATGATAATTAATTCTATTTAACTCCTTAACTATATACTACTTTTATTTAACTCCTTAACTATATAATACTTTATAAATTCTCTAATATTACAAAAGAAGAATTTTTAAAAATTATTCTTCATTTTCTCCATTTTGCATAATTATTCGTAGTGTCGTGAAGTACGAAAATACAGTCGATAAATACTGTAACATTAATAATAACTTAATATAATTCTTGACTTTTACTTTACAAAAATTTTATGTGCGTGTATTATGTAATTGTTAACTATGTAATAATAATAACTTGTGTTAGAAAAATCACTTTGACATCTATTGAATAATATACATAATATTTAATGAAATTAGTTTCAAATTATAAACAAACAAGAAATTATGAAAGTTATATAAATTTATTCATAATAAGCATTACTAATTGATATAAAATACTTCTGTGTAAGCACATGCACGCACGCACATGCAAGTGTACGCACGAAATCAAAAATACTTTTGACAAGATTATAATCATAATATTATGTCTAAAATATTAATATAAAAAATAACTGACGTGTAAATAAAATAATGATTATGAGCAAAACTAGTTCAAAGTTTGATAATACGTTTCATTTATGCACATTAACATCTAAATATTATAAATCATTAGAAGTCTTTCATTAGAATGAGATTTATTGGAGAAAAAACATAACAGTTATCTGAAAAATGAAGTATATGTGGAAATTGGTATATATGAGTACATGACTGCTTAATATAATTTTCTATGATTTTGAAATATATACTTTTCTTATATGTCATTTAAAAATAAATTAGCTATTAGTTATTAACTATCAGTTAAAGACAAATAATTTTAAAAGTAATATTTGCCATATATAGGGTGTTTTAAAATTAGCGCCTGTGAAATATAAGACGTACGTGATACTTCATTTATTTACTAGAAAAAACAACTTTTTCTCCTTTAGCGTCTGACAAAGTAGTTTTTGCAGGAGAGTAGATTGAAATTATACGAATAAACGCAAAAATTATTTATAGAATGTAATTTTGTTAAAGGAAAAAGTTGTTGGTTTTAGCATAAAGTATCATGTCTTGTACTTCACGGGCGCGAATTTTGAAACACTCTGTATTTATATACGGTCAATGTAACTAATTATTATAAGAAATAACTTGTTTTACGTATCGGATTGCGAAGAATGATTTGTCCAAATGATTGATGTGCATGATCAAAGTCAAAACAATATTCAAACTCTTTCCTCACCGATGCATAATAATTTAAAGATAATGCAGGCATAACGCATGGTATTGTGATAACTATTGGATTTTGAGCCTTGAACATAATTATTTGTAGATATTTTCGTAGAGCGACTGGTTGCTTGTACCACTGCGTATCGAAAGCAGCTTGTCGGATTATCTCACCACTCTTGCAAAAATATCAAACGATCATAATATAATTGAAATAAAGTAATTTTCTTTATAAGTTACTTACTATGTGAATCAAATGTTCTGCTGGCCATGTATACATAAATACTTCTGATAATCCGCTAAAAGCAAGACCAACGCATTGAATTTTTATTGATATTGGTTGGCCCTATTAAAAAAACAAAATAATTTTATAAATCTTTATAAAAATATAAATTTTAATAATTATTAGAGATTGCGAATACATTAATTTTGATCAATTGAATTCTTGGTGGAGTTATAATTCATAAATTATAGTAATATAACATTCATATTTTTATTATAAAATTTTTAGCTTAATTAATTTCCAGAGAATATGCTATAATGCGAATGATAATAAATAACACATAAAGTATAAAAAGGAATAAACGCGAATGTAAAATTGAGAGAATTAGTTCTTTTTCACACACATTTGAAGTTACAAAACGTTTGAACAATGTTATTATTAATAATACGTGCATTATAATACTCACAGTAATAAAAATGAGACCGATTATTATTAATGCAAAAGTACTAAGACTTATAGTTGTCAATGCAAAGGGGCGAACTATGGCAACCACTTCTTGTGCATATCTAAAATAAATGTATATAGTGAATAATCTTGTTTTTTTACGTATAAATTTTTCCAAAAGTTTAGAAAATACAGTATCATAAAACCTTGCTGAGTAAATTTAGAAAAAATTACTTTTTAAATAAGATACAGTTGAAGATAATGTATCATAGATATATGATTAATACTTAAAAGTGACATTTTTAATATTAAAATAACTGTGATATATTTCTAAAATTGGAAATCTTGTTCAGAAAGCTATAATAGATTTATTTATAAAAATGTAAAAACTTTAAAATATAAAATTAAAATATGACTATTTGAAAAAAAATATATTTAATAATATTGGTCTATAAATTTAATAATAATGATCTATAAAAATATATGTTTAATAACATTATTATAATTATCTGTAATAAATATTACAGATGTTCTAAATTAGTTTATGCTTGGATTTTATCGAACATTTTATTTTAAATTTGATCTACACATCTCTATGATTAAAATTTTATAATAATAGGCCTATTCTATTTCTTTTTTTCATACTCTAGAACTAAATTTCTTGCACAGTTCATCTGACTTTGTCTTCTTTTCACATTAGCTATGTCCAGCTGGAAAAGTAGTTTTGCAATTGTTGTAAAATTCTTTAATATAATTGATTTATACATTTAGATTCGATGAGAAACTAAAGAATAAGACGAATTATATTAAAGAATTTTACAACAGTTGCAAAGCTAATTTTTTTGCTGAGCACAACCATTGGAGAGAAAAAGACAAAAAAATAAACCGTGCAAGATGTTCAGCTCTGTGGTATAGAAAAAGAACAGGCCTAATATAAATATTTTTAAATACTTACTGTAGTAATCTTTGATGTTGTCGAATGCATTGAACTAAACCATGAACATTGGTGACTGTTCGTAATTCCTTGACTAATAATTCAAATCTCGCTGAGGTAGTCCAAAGCAGAAGAGCCATGAAAATATTCATACATAGCTGAGCAGAAGCTTGAAAACATACAATAGACTGATGCACGAAGATAATACTTTTTAACGGTTGCTGATAAACGACGAACGGGTACTCGGCGTTTGTTGGAAACGGTTGATCTAGCGTAACAGGTCCAGTGATTACGAAAACAGCACTTAAATAAATCCAAAGCATGGAGCCACCGTAGAAGTAAACGCATTTATCAATGTATTGCTGAATAGTTGCTTCTTCGTGAGGCTTAAGTAATTGACAGAAATTTTCCATTTCGAAAGTTACCAACTGAAACCGATTAGACTGGTATTATATATGCAAAATATACATGCAATAGCATGTCTCAAAAGATAAGTTTTATTTTACATCCGATATTTCACTTTTAAAATTTCACTCTCTCTCTTATTAAATATATTTTATACTAATTACTTGTAGACGACGTGAATTAATTTTACAGCTTATGATATTGCAAACAACATGCACCATAGGACATATTATGATTATTGATTTTGCCATGATGAGAGGATCATTTAGATGGTTTCTAACTGTGTTTGTTAGTCCTACGATTAGACCTAAAGTTAAAATTAGGCATAGATATTGGTATAGTCCCGCACAGATAATTTTAAGCTTAATTGTGTCTTTTGGAAGAGGCCAGCACCATGTTATGAACAAACTTAGCTTTACGATGGCGATCACCTTCTTTAATGTCAAGTTCTTCTTCATGATCATATCACATACACATGTGTTACGAGAAACGTATACCAAAAAGTTCTTGCTCAAAGAATTGCAGTATTACAATAAGTGAATGTACATAGAAGAAAATTTTATACAAACGAAGTTCTAATGGACTTCCTCGAATATATTTCTACGATGTAATTCTTACACAAGATGAACGATATTACCTAGATTTACACTCCACAAGTATCTGTAGAATTCTTACTGTAAATTCTAAAAAAAGCATACACTTCTCGCAAGAGGTATTCAATGCATTAATTTAATATATACTTTGTACCTTGTGGCATTGAATTCTTTCTTTTGAAAGCATAAAAGAATTTTTCTTGAACACCATTATTTTCTACCATTATACGTAATGTGATGTGATGACTTATAAACCATTCACAACCTATACTAGGTTGTGAATAGTTTATAAGTCATGGAATATGTAAGTAATTGAAGATCATTGCTACACGCTGTAGCAATTGTTTCTGATATTATTCATCATACGATAAAATTTTCTGATGCAACCTTAGTTTCATCAAAATGCTTTAGAAATAAAGGTGGAAATAAACGTTACTTTGCTATACATGGAATTTCACTTTAAAATAGTGGAAATAGTAATACTACATTATTAGTAAAAAGTTTAACATTATCATCGTCTATTGATGACGCGTAACCCTTTTTCAAATAACTTTCACTTTTGTTTTTGAAAAGATCAATATATAATGTAGTCCACAGTAGATATCGTTTTAATTATTTTTAATTATTTTGTTTATTTTTTGTGATACTGAGTTATGACAGTATGAATGGGGTAATTAAAAGAAAGATGAGAGAGAGAGAGAGAGAAAGAGGGAGAGAGGGGGGGGTAGCAGTATTAGTAGTAGTTATATTTGAGTAACTACACGATTATAAAAACTTCTACAGTACTATACAATTATAAAAACTTTTGTGTAAACATTAAAAGCATTTCAACTGTGTTTGTATATTTAATTGTTATCATCGTCCATCATTACTCGCAGTGAAGTGAAATAAGAGAGTATAGCTGAAAGATACTGTAACACATAATAACAAATATTTTTTATGTTAATGAAAAAATAAATTTTTTACAATACATAAATGATAATATTTATACATAAACACATGAAAAAATATTACATAAAAGATAATATTTATATAAGCATTATTAATGCTTGAAATAATAATTTAAAATTAAAAAAATTTTTAAGCTGTCACTTTATATATATTAATGTATAAAGATATACATATATGTATGTATAGAATAATTAACATTCCAAGCAACAATTCGACATCATATGGACGTCCAAACCAAATCCCTTTCGTACGTATAATATATCATTCAAAGACGTTTAATAGACATCGTTAGTATCGTTCAATCCCGAATGGCACAGATAATTCGGAAATTATTCATCTTTTCTGACTTATAAGTTATTGAGAGAAAGAGAAGGATATACTGGATAGTTATTGGACTCTAAGATGAAAGTATATAAAGTTGTTCGATAGTTGTCAGTCCTTGGACCTTGCTGACGTTTGTTTGCATTTGAAAATTAAATATATTAGCAACGTATCTTGGACATCCCTATAAAATATCTGTGTAAATAACATCATTATAGAATGTTCAAGCAATGTCCTCTCGGGACGTATTTTAGGCATCTAACATACAGCGACAACGGGACTTTTCAGGACATATTTTGGGCGTCCAAAGATGTCCAAGGACGTCGAATTGTTGCTTGGAATAAATAATTAACATAAATTGAAACATGTTAGTAAATCTTAATTAATTTTTTAAACCAATTTGCAATGTAATCTTCTTACCGATGTAAAATAATTAAGGGACAATATGGGCAGAAGGCAAGGTATTGAAATCGTTACTGGTTTTTGACTTCTCATTATAATAATTTGTAGACATTTCCACATTTTAATCAAATGATTGTTTTCGAGCATATGAAATGCTGTTTCTGCGACATATTTGCTCTAGATAATAAACATATAAAAGTAATAAACATTTTGTATAATAAAATAGATTTTAATGTAACAGATTTAAATAATTAGTAATTTACCATATACATCAAATGTTCTGCTGGCCAAGTATACATAAATACTTCCGAAATACCTATTATACTCATTCCGAAAAACTGGACTATTAGCAATACAGGTTGATGCTATTTAAAAATTGATATACGTTATTTTCAGATTGATGCTTTTATCAAAATTTTTTTATGTAATTGAAATACTTTTTTTTGCATAAATACATGAAGGATATAGTAATGGAGAATGTAATGATATTGCTTATATATTTAGATTATTCCTTAATATATACTATGATTTTTCAGGGCCGGAAAATCATCGTATTGTTAAGTAGTGTGTAGTTGTTGTGTAGTAAAGGACTACACATTGATAGGTTGTTCGGATCCCGGCTTAATTTGCATCACTTTTACAAGTATACAAAAATTCTTAGGTAATATCTATATATACTATAATATCTTTAAAAAACATGTAAAGTTATACATGGTGTCCGGTAAAAACCGTAACAATGTTTAAAGTATAAATTTCCGAGATTATTTTGAGACGAAAATGCTAGTACTAAAATATCGAGACTATAATTTTTTGTAAGTTTTTGCATTATAAACATTTAAAATTATAGCGAATCGTATTGCCTAAAATTCGCACGTTCAAATGTGATGGGTAAACGTACAATAAAATGCCAATCACACCTACATAAACGCGCATTTTAGGCGATATGATTCGCTAATTTAAATGTTTATAATTTAAGAATTATAGCCTCGACGTTTTGATTAGGATTTTCATCTCAAAATGATTTCAAGAATCTATCTTTAAACACTGTTACGGTCTTTACCGGACATCCTATGTATTTAAAAAAATTGTATATAAATGTTATAACAATTATAGCTGACAAAATGAGAGAAATGACTTTTTCATATTAAAATTCAGAGCTCTGAAATAAAAATAATTTAGGGAAAAATATATTTCATATTTTTCAAGTTGATATTCCAAACTGTAAGAAAAAAGAAAATTTCGATATGGACTGTCCAAAAAGTTGAGCTATTCATTAACTTGGTCTGTGTTCCGATATTCACTGTCAGTATTGAAAAGCTATAGTGCACATTATGTATACTATACATTTTCAGTACTGACAGTGAATATCGGAACGCAGCCTTAAACATTTTTTTAATACGCATAAATGAGTATAAATTGAAGGTATATTGCATTTTGTTATTGATATGACGTTAAAAAAACTACAACTAATTAGAAGAGTATTATTTATAACATTTTTAAATATTATTTATAGCATTTAACGCAAACATGAGCAATGTTTGGCGTATTAGCATAAAATTATCGTTTAAATTTCAATTTTTTTAAAAGTTTGTTTGAAATTCTTGCAATATAAATTCGAATTAAATATATTAATTAGAATTAGTTGAAAATAAATAAAAAATAAAAATTTCTCAGCTACAGATAAGTGCTCATTCTATGCATGATGGATTATTCGTGACTGATTATTCGTTAAAGGTCAACTCTCGATCACCTTTATTGAAGGATATGTAGGTAATGCACTAAACCTGACTTTTAAATGTCAAACTGTTTTTTAGGGAAAGAGAGACTATTATTTAGCTAGATGCTCTTAGTATTTCAAAGAAAACAAATGCACAGAAAACGAATAACTAAAGCTGCGTTCCACTTAACGCTCGCAACGAGCATCGTTTATCCTTGTTTAACATTTGATAAACGACAACGATGAAATGATTCCACGAGCGTTGTGAGCGTTAAGTGGAACGCAGCTTAAATCATGTGTATTAAGATGATTTAAAATTTTTAAGTATGTTTGATGATCATGATATTTGTTATGTATTTATGTATAAATTTAAAAAAAGAATTATACGTGTGTAATATAATGTTTCATGTACTTACACTAATAAACAAAAGAAAGATTACTATTAAGCCAACCGAGCTACAACATATAGTTATAAATGCGAAAGGACGAACACAAATTGTGACTTCCTTTGCGTACCTAAATAAATGCATTACGTCAGGATTATTTAAAATTTTTGAACTAGATTATTCACACGTAAGACAATCACTGTGATATTTACTTGAGTAATTTTTGATGTTTTTTAATACATTCGAACAACTGATAGACATTTGTAACTTTTTTTAGTTCTTCAGTCAGCATCTCAAATCTTGCCGATGTAAACCATAGCAACAGAGCCATATAAACATTTATACATAGTTGTCCTGCTACCATTATTCCGGCGATAGATTGTTGTATGAAAATTATTGCTTTTAACGGTTGATAGGATACATCAAATGGATATTCGGCTGATGTTGGAAATGGTTGATGCTCTAAAGTAGGTATCACTGCAATAGCTGTGAACGTAAGCCAGTAGAAAATAAATATAGATGTACCATGAAATGTGATACATTTGTCAATGTATCGTTGAATCACAATTTCTTCATGTAATTTCATCAAGTCATAAAACTGTATCATTTCGAAAGTAACATTCTGTAAATAATTACTTGAAATAATTGTTACTAATATATAGAAATAACTAATAAAACGTGAGTTTTTACTTAATTTGGATGCATTTTTAAATAGATAAATGTTGATTACCTGTATATGATGGTAATTAACTGTATGAAAAATAAAATTAAACATAGCGTGAACAACGCTACTCAACATAAGAACTTGCTTTGTTAACGTAGTAGGTTCGTCAAGATTATTTATTATACCATACATTAATGGTATCTGTAGACTTATTACTACAATTATGCCCAAACAATGATGCAGTTTCACACAGAACATTTTCAATTTTGTCGCATTATGTGGCTCAGGCCAACTCCAAATTGGGAACAAACTTAATTTCACTACAGAAATCACTTCTTTTAGCGTTACCTTTCTTCGCATGACTGAGGTATGCTACGTATGTTATATTGCGAATTGATATATTACGAGAAATAAAACTTCTTCCGCGAGCCGTTATGTTATGAATACTCTCCACGCATTTGCAAGTATTTATTGTAATGAAAGGGTGTAGCAAAGGGGAGTTATTGTACGAGAACATGTATTCTTGCGTTTTTTCATTTCATATGGGGTATACATAAATAAAATTATCATGATGCATACGGTGTATGTGAGAGACGAATAGCTCTGCGTGTTTAAATTTAATAAATTATAACATATATTCACTGCTTCTAAAAACGTAAAAATATATGCATGCATAGTAAGATTTCTTTACATCTAAGATCTACACACACATCTAAGATGTTTATGTATATTTTAGATATAAGAAAGTAAGAAATAAATTTAAAAAAGATTTCTCTATGAGATTCTAAATAAACCATATGTACTATCTATTTTTCTCGTATTGGAGAAAAGCATACATTATTTTATAATTTGTCTATTATTCTATTATATATAACATACTTTTGTATTTCTATATATGAACTACAGTAAGGCAGTTTTAACTTATAGACTTTCAACACGCAGTAGCTTTCTTCACTGTACGCTACCTAATAATTTTATTGATGCATGTCCTGTCTACGATAGGAAATAAGTGTGCAGGAAGTAACATATGTTTCACTGAAATGCTACACAACGGTGTTAGAAATATGGTCTTCACGCTCACGCAACCTGTGTATGTAATTGTGAGAAAAGGGAAGATTTGATGTTCCACATGAAGGAAATAGGTGGAATGGTGCAATAGGTATAGCAAGGCTATAGGTATAGCAAATCTATTTTGGAGATAATATAGCGTTTCTTTAACTTCGCGTTGAAGTTCTGATACCAAGTTATATTTATTATTCGGAAAAATATTCGAGAAAGTCATTGATAAGGGAAGGTCGAGCAGTGAACCGCTAGATTTTAAATATATGGTTTTGTATTTGTTGTTGTTTGATATGCATATTGGCGGTTCGTTCTACAAATTATAGTCTTGTGAATAATTATTGCATTAATAAAGTTAATGTTTTTTTAAATAATGGAATCTGAGTTATTTATTGGAAGATTGTTCATCATGACAAAACCATTGGTAGATCTTGATTACTGGGTGTGACATTTTTACATACTTTTTCGATATATTTGGAACTGCGAGCGGTGTCATGATAATGTTGAGAAAGAGACTATGTAGATTCAGATTATAAAATCCAACTGAGTTAAGGGAAACGAAAGTTCTTTACATCGAGAAGTTTCGTGATTAAGGAGTTTTAGCTGTAACAGAGAAAGACTAAGTTCTTCATGCTCTTCCAATAGAAGATTAAAACTATAACATCTGGAGGAACGGTTATATGCCAAACAATAACTGAAATTTTAAATATATATACAAAGTTTCATCAAAATAACCTGAGTTTTTAAAATTTTTGAAACAATTTTTCTTCCAACTTTAGCATCCTTTAAAATTTTTTAGAGTATTTAACATCTATCTATATATGATTAGAGATTGCAAGACATTCTCGTACAGAAGCATATAGTGTTGAGATTGTTGAGAAGTTAAAATTTTTAATAAACCAGGAACAGACATGATTGCAGTTTGTACAGCTCGTTGACGTCCGAGCAAAATACTTAATGTAATCTTACGTGACTCGACGTTTTGATTATAATAATACAATGAATAATAGAAACCTTAGCAATCGTAGAATTCTGAAATATAAATTTAAAAAATATTTTTACCTATTATAATATTCAGTTTTAGATAATTATTTATATTTAGACTTACTGTTCTCGTTAGATCAGCCAGCCAAGCGCAGAGAAATATTTTTGTTAGTGATGCAGACAATAAACGGTTCGATTACACAATACTGAATTTTTACGTATGACGGAAATCGCTATTTAAAAAATACTTAAATTATAGAAACGTTTTATTTTCTTCAACATATATTTTTAATTTTTAATTTAAGAAGCAAAGAAGCTATTTTTAAACACTGGAAATTTCGACAGCTTAGAGACAGTTTATTTTAATATTTACTTTTTTAAATAGGAATTAAATAGACCATTATTACATGTCTGGTATCGTGCCATCTCTCGTGGACAGGTGGAACGAAAAATTGAATAGTAAAGTCCTTTATTGTTTTGCGAGTTTGTTAATCATTAACGAAAAATTCATTAGTTAAGTTCTGTGGCGAATCAGCGGCGAAGAAAAGACAGTCCAACGTTACTGCATGCTGATTGTGGTTGCTATGCATGCGGTGAAGTATTGAGAGGAGTGCATATCTAGCAACCACTAATGATGCACAACGTTGGATTGTATTTTATCCAAAAAGCGCAATATTTGCAGATTGAAGAAGGTGTAGTTCATGATATGATAAAAATAAATTAATTTTATAAAAAATTGATGTGGAAAGATGAAAAAGACAATTAATGCAATGACCTTAAAAAATTCTTTTATTTATGTTAATTAATATTTACTAGAGATTTATATTAATTAATATTTACTAATGTGAAAAAAGTTCTAAATATATCAGAATTTTTTGGTGCTAACAATATTACAAGATTTTCTATTATGCAAAATATAATACTATTGAAAAATAAAAATTAAAAGAATTTACAAAGCTTAAAAATTTATTTCTTGATTTCATTGTTCTCCACAAATACCATTCGCAATGTCATTAAATAAGAAAAAGCTGTTGATACGTACTAAAATATATAAAATAATAGCTTTAATTTATATTTTCTAGCTTTAGAATGAAAAATATGTATATAGTGATAAAATTTTACAAAAAATTTTTGTACAATTAGGAGCATTGACGGTACGTTTATGTTTAACGATTTAATTTCTTACAACATATAAAAAATATATTTTCCTCGTACGCACATATAATAGTATGACTATTTGATTATATGAAAAAAAAAAATGGAAAATTTTAATAAAAATTGAAAAAAATTTTTAATTAAAAATTTTAATTAAATTTTATACGAAATTTATCAGAATTTAATATTTTTAGACAGATTCTACATGAAATATTTCCAAAATTTTGATTGTTTGTAGTGTAAAAAGTTATACTGAGGTAAAATATTAACTGTGTAAAAATTCTTTTAATTTTTAAAACCTTACCGATGCATAAAATTGTAACGATAAAGCTGGAAGGATAGAAACAGAGACGGTTGTTGGTGTTTGACTCCTTAGCAAGATAAAATTTAAATTTTTTTGAAAAATCTTGTCATGATTGTACCACGACGATTCGTAAATTGCTTGCGCAACATTGGTACTCTAATAAGTAATACGCATATTTTAATATAATAATATAGCCGAAACAATATAGTCAAAATACATATAATGAAAATATTGTAAATAAATATGTGACACAGGAATTGTCATTCTTTATTATAAAAACAATAAAAATTTAATACAAACGATTTAACATTATATTTTTTTTAAATTTAAAATTTATATGTATATTCATTATATATATATTTTATAGTTATTCATTAACTATATTATAAAAAAATATTATATTATATTATAAAAAAATTAATAAATTTTTAATATTTAAAAAAGAAGCAGAGTTTATTTTACTGAATAGAGCCAAATTGAGCGCGATAAAGAAACAATTTAAATTTAAAATAATTTAGGTAATAATTCATAACTTGATGGTGCAATACACAGTTACAGTTATCTTTCTTGAATTATGTCGGATTATTTAAATGTAAATGCTAATGGAATCCAACTTACCGTATCTTTTAAATAATCGGCTGGCCAAGCACATGCATAAACTTCCATAAGTCCTGATGTACATAGAGCCATAAACTGTATTTTCTCCGTTAACGTACTTCGCTAGGTTTACAATAATATTAAGATAAATCAAATGTAAACATATGCATATATGTAATTTTTCTTCAGTAGAATTGTAGTTTTATTTTTCTCCAGTAGAATTGTCGTTTTATCACGAGACGATATTAAAAGGTATAAAACAAATTATACTTACGCTTACAATTGTTAGGCCACTAGCTACAATCGCCCACGTACAAATGATTATTATTGATAATATCACTGAACGAAAGGCAATTATTACTTCTTGAGCGTATCTAAAACGATTTGTTTTCTAAAGCTGAAAAAATTACTATGTACATCGTTTGTGCTTCTATATAGTGCGTCTATTTTTTTGTTTCATAATTTTAACATTTTCTTTTGCATCATAAGTTACAAATAATAATTGTAATAATTTTTATTGTTCCTCCATTTATAAAACTTTTTGTTCTTTTATTTAGTATCTCTCTCTCTATACATATTATATTATATCTTTACAACATCTTAATTTTAATCTTAGGAAATTATAAAATTGATTTATATATTGCAAATTTTATATTTTCCTCAAAAACAATTTTACATTAATAAGTCTTATTATTATTCTTATTTAGTAAAATCAATTATGAGATTTAAAAAAATGTTGATAATAAAATACGGAAAATGTATTTGTAAGCTATATTTAAATATATTTTCAGTTTTCGATTTCAAATTTTGTGAAGATATGTTTTCAACGTACATATATTTGCAAAGCAGTGATATTAAAAAAAAAAAGATCCGTCAGTTTGATTCGAAAAATATGAAACGACGTTTAGCAAATTTGTCTCTTGCCAAAAACAACATAATTTTATTTTACGTGATAATGTGTAGGTGATGTAAATGTAGAGAGTTTTGTACAAAAAAAATGTGATGTGCTAAATGATGAATTATGGCCAAAAAATAGATATTAAATACAAAAAATCATTTTTTTATTACTAATGACTGCTAATTTTTATAAATGAAATGCATTTTTCTGTTACCTCAATAATTTCACATGTTGTCGTACACACAAAATGATACCATAAACATCGGTGACCATACGAAATTTTTCCGACAAGATTTCAAAACGCGCTGCGGCAAACCATATGAGAAGACCGACAAAACTACCAATACAAACGATGGAGAAGCATTGCCAAATAGCGATGAACTGATGCAAAAAGATAATAGTTTTCACTGGTTCATATTCCACATCGAAAGGATACTTTGTATCTGTTGGGAAAATCTGATCGGCCGCTATGAATGGTAGTGTTGCTGTTACACTCGCACCGAAAAAAACTGCCGCTGTAAAGCTCACGTAAAATATCGCGCATCTATCGACATACCGTTGGTAGAGCATTTTCTCGTATGATTCCGCACACTTGATATTATGCTCCATTTCCGAAATCAAATACTGAAATTTAATTACGTAATACATAGGTTATACCTGCGCTATGAATAAATGAACAAAATCGATGATTGAATTAAATATATGATTTTCAAAAGTAGATAATGTAATTTTTTGTGAAGATAATCTTGGATAAACAGAACTGAGTCAATCAAAAAGTTAAATTTTTGCAAAATATTATTTTCAAAGCATTAATTAATAATATTAAAAGCAGTTATATTTATTTATAATATTAATTTATTAATATATTTCTATAGAATTGAATAAGATAAAGTGAAAATGATTTATTGAAGATCGGTCTGTGTATGTATTGATATCTCACTTTAAATACAAACATAAATTTCTTACTTGCAATCGGTCATATTGCAGTGCGCATTGTGTTATCTCCAGAGGGATTTGTATAAACGCACCCAACAAACACCATAGCTTTGTTAACTTTGCTAGATTGTAATCATTACGATAAAGGGTATATGCTGTAGGTACACTCAATACCACTGCATTTATACAGAGTAAAGTGCGTAAAATTTTGAAACGTACTATTTGAAATTTACTAGCGTTCTTTGAAAGTGGCCACGGAAAGGACAAAGCGACTATCACTTTTATAAACGCGATAGCAGTTTTTGGAGTTATTTTTATGGCCATAATTTTACCGAAGAATTTAACGAAAATATATTTAAAATCTATATTCCCTTATAATGTTTTCTCGTGCTACGTCGATTCAAATAAAGTGTTACAATCTTTTTTCCTCGCTTCATAACGCGTAAATATTTGATGTGTAATAGCGTAATGAAATCATACATTTTCCAATACATGCACAACACTGTGAAAGACTGTAATTTACATGTAGCACGTTAGCTTATTCGACTGCTGCAGGGGTGCTGTGAATAGAACAGTTTTATGAAAGAAATTTTATATCAAACGCAATGTACAATATTTATAATACGAAAGGGAAGTACAGCAAAATTCTATCTATACGAAGTTGTTATACACGATGATAAAAAAATCTATTAAATTTTCAATACGCAATTCCATCTAGGAAATAACGTAAATTATCAGGAGCACGAAGAGTACTTCAACATTGTACATATCTCATCATCTTTTCAAGATGTGTATAATGTACCGTTAAATCTATAGTGTCACATTTAACCTAAGGTGAGTCGCCACTGCGTTTACACAATTATATCATTATTTTATACTAAAACAATAACTATATTTGACACTATACAATGTTAAATTTAATTATTGTTTTAGTAGAAAATAACGATATATTTATAATAGTAGAAACAGAGTGGCGACTTACATTAAATTTGACACTACAGATTTAACAATGTGTGTAGACTTTATTAGTATTAATAGTTAATCTGTATAATATATAAAAATTTAATAAATTATATATTTGCACTTAACTGCGTTCGAAACAAGAATGCACGATGAATATATATTAAACGCTTAGACTGTACTTATATTGCATTCATTTATATTTCTTTGGCAGAAGGTATGGAATTGCGTATGGAATTAGTGTCCTATAACAAAAGTTGCGAGAGGAGAAAAGGAAACAATAAATTATATGAGTTGTGGGATGTATTTGGATTTTTTTTGTAACACGTACGTAAGTATGTTTTATAATTTCTGTAGTGACGTTGGCTAATCAATTAAAATAATTTCCTGCCCTAAAGGCCGGAATACAGACCTTTTGCATAACGCATAATGTATAAATCATAAGAAAATAAATTATAATCAGAGCTTTTTATTATAGGAAGGCAGAAAATGAAAGATTTTGATTGGTTTTTTTTCTTATGCATTATGCATCATACGTTATGCTCAGTCCTTTATGGTCGCTTCTATCGAACCTCGTGTTAGCAGATTTATTCAAGAAATTTTTTCAAGAAAATACATTTAAAAGTATCGTGTAATGCAGACTGCACTCGCGTATGTTTCGTTATTTGGACGTATAATTTAAATTATGATTTAAATTTGAACGTTCATATACATATACATTTTGACTCATGTCATTAACAATAGAAAATATATGGACAATAACAAAATTATGTACAAAATACGATCAAGAATATAAACGCCGATACGCTTACGTTTAATGATTAAGTTTCGTATAACGTTAAAAAACTGCATTTTTTTTTACTTACACATATAATAGTATAATTATTTTATTATATGAAAGAAAAAATGGAAATAGTGTGTCATACTTAAAATTTCTTCATATATGTAAATATGCTGGACAATATTAATACTCTTGAAAGAATGTAATTCGAGACATGATAAAACAAAATTGATTTTAAGTAAAATCGATTTGGAAAGGATGAAAAAGAAAATTAACGCAATTAACTTAAGAAATTCTATTATTTTGAAATTTAATGTGAAAAGAGATATAAGAATACCAAATTTATGGTAATAACAAGAAATGTATCTTCTATTATGCAAAACATAATACTATCGATGAGAACAAAAAATGAGAATAGTTTGAAATTTAATTTTTGATTCCACTGTCTTCCTCCATAAATACCATGCGTAACGTCATCAAATAAGAAAATGCTGTTGATACATACTAAAATAATAACATTAGTTTATATTTTCTGGCTTTAGTGTAAAAAATACAATGGATAGTAACAAAATTTTAAACAAAATTATCGTACAATCAAGAACATTAACGCCAGTATGCTTACATTCAATGATTAAATTGGTATAACATTTAAAAATTGCATTTTTAAATACTTGTACATACATAATAGTACGACTATTTCATTATATGAAAGAAAAAATGGAAACAATATGTTATACATAAAATTCATGTTTGTGCAAATATGATAGATAATGTTAATGTTCTTGATTTTATTTATATATTCCTTATATATTTCTGAGAAATATAATTTTCTTATTATTTAAATAAATATATTTAGGCAAAAAGTGTCTGTTTAGGTTAATCTTATTATAATACAATGTTTAATTTGCGTATATAATTATTAAAAAATATTCCTTACGGAAAATCAACTTATCTAAATCAATTTTAACAAATGATTGATATTATTTTGTACAACTACGAACACATTAAAAATTTAATTTTTATTAAAATGTTCATATTTTACTTATTATAATTTAATATTTTTAATATTTTATTTTTATCAAAATGTTCATGCTTTACTTATTAGAATTTAATATTTTTAAAAAGATTCTACAAGAAACATAATATTTATAAAATTTTGATTTAACTTGTAGTGTAGGAAATTATAGATACTATATAGTAAAATATTAATTGTATAAAAAGAATTTTTTAATTTGTGAAATCTTACCGATGCGTAATATTGTAATGATAAAGCTGGAAGGATAGAAACAGTAACGGTTGTTGCTGTTTGACTCCTTAACAAGATAAAATTTAAATTTTTTTGAAAAATCTTGTCTTGATTGTACCACAACGATTCGTAAACTGCTTGCGCAACATTGGTACTCTGACAAATAATATAAAATTATAGTTATCACACAAATTATGTCGATTGTAAACGCCATTGGAATACAACTTACCATATCTATTAAACGATCAGCTGGCCAAGCACATGCATAAACTTCCATAAGTGCAGCTATACATAGAGCCATAAATTGTATTTTGTCCGTTAAAGTACATTGCTAGATATATAATAATATTGTTATAAAATACATTAAATGCATGTAAACACATTTATATATATATAACCCTTTTTTCCAGTAGAATTATCATTTTATTGCAAGATGATAGTAAAAGGTATAAAATATATTATACTTACGCTTACAATTGTTAGACCACTAGCTACAATAGCCCACGTACAAATAATCATTATTGTTAATAACACTGAACGAAATGCAATTACTACTTCTTGAGCGTATCTAAAACGATTTGTTTTCTAAAGCTCACTTTTTGCGATAAAATTCGAAACAGGATTCTATTTACAATTTTATGTATTGTGTAATACAGTAAACATGTGAATAATCAGAATTATAAAATAACTATAATATTCTGTTTTTACGTATATAAAAGACGCCTCAAACATGCGTAGGGTATAATTACCCGTAATTGGTCAATTGTATTTGGTGTAATGAAGATTGAAAATCTATTAGCGTTGTGAACAGAGTCATGTCCAATCAGACATCAAATAAAAAAAACTTTGTCCGATGTTTCATCAAATTACAGCGCTTCAAAGTAAGACAAAAATATTACAAAAAAATATCAATTTTTAACTTTATGTTTAGGAACAAAATGTCGTAGAAAAAGATTCAATCGCAAAAATTTAAAGCCCTATTTTTGCTGTAGGCAATCGATTTGTAGGCAAAAGAAACCATTTCTTTAACTTTTCGTGAAATGCGACAAAAATATTAGTGCCCAAATATTTATGAAGGCTAGTGTATATTATGTCTAAACAGTATCTTAATTTTAATCTTAAAATTTAAAGCTGTAAAGATATTTGCATATTGCAAATTTTATGTTTTATTTAGAAATAATTTTGTTTTTTAAAAAATTAATTAATAATTAATTAATCTTATCCTTGGCAAAATCAATTATGAAATTTTTTAATTAGAAATTTTACTATTAAAATATTTAATTTATATGTATTTGCTTAAAATAATAATTAAAATTATTATTTTAAGCTTTTCTAATGTTTTTTTAAAAGTACATTATGGTTTTTGCAGAATATCTAATATTCAGAAAAATTAATCCACTAAATACAAAAAACACGAAGTAGCATTTAGTGAATTTAGTTTTTTTTGTAATAATCATAACATAATTTTACTTTATATGAAAAACGGAGTAATAGATGGTATATATAAACAGCTTTACGCGAAAAACATGATGTACTAAGTGCTAAACTACTATCGAAAAATACACATTAAATAAAATATACATTAAATAAAAATTATTTCTTTATAGAGTAACGATTATCAATTTTTATACGTGATGAAATGCATTTTTTGTTACCTCAATAACTTTATATGTTGCCGCACACACACAGTGATGTCATAAATGTTGGTGATCATACGAAATTGATGCGACAAGACTTCGAAACGCGCCGCAGAAAACCATATGAAAAGACCGACAAAACTACCGATACAAACAGTGGAGAAGCACTGCCAAACAGCGATGAACTGATGCACAAAGATAATAGTCTTTATTGGTTCATGTTCCACGTTGAAAGGATACTTCGCTTCTGTCGGGAATATCTGATCGACCGCTGTCAGTGGCACGATTACTCCTATACCCGCGCCGAGAAAAACTGCCGCTGTGGAGCTCACGTAAAACATCGCGCATCTATCAATGTACCGTTGGTAGATCTTTTTTTCATATGGTTCCGCACGCTCTAAAGTATGCTCCATTTCCGAAATCAAATACTGAAATTTAATTCGATTTTTCAGCTGGCAATACGTAGTTTATATCCAAGCTGTGAATAAATGGATAAGTCGAAGATTGAATTAGATATATCATTTTCGAAGTAGATGACAATAATAATTTTCGTGAAGATGCAATCCCGCTTTAGATATGCAGAGTTGATAAAAAAGTTATTTGCAGAATAATATTTTTATAGCATTGATCAATAATATCAGAGCTAAATATTTAATTTATTAATATTTGTATAGAATTGAATAGTACAGATTGAAAATGGTTTATCGAAGGTCGGTCTCACATAGATATTCTTACTTGCAATCGATCATATTGCAGTGCACATTGTGTTATCTCCACAGAGACTTGTATCATTGCACCCAACGTACACCATAGTTTCGTTATCCTTGGTAGATCATAATCATTACGATAAAGGGTGTATGCTATAGGTACACTCAATACCATTGTATTCATACAGAGCAAAGAGCGTAAAATTTTGAAGCATGTTATTTGAAATTTGCTAGCATTCTTTGAAAGTGGCCACGAAAAGGATAAAGCGATTATCACTTTTATAAACGAGATAGCATTTTTCGGGGTTGTTTTTATCGTCATAATTACATCGACGAATTCATCGAAAATATAATGTACAGCAATAATTTTAAAATTATATGCGTTCACAACGTTTTCTTGCGCTACGTCGTATCAAATAGAATGTTAGATTAGAAGCTTTTTTTCATCGGTTCATAATGCGGAAATATTTGATGTGTAATAACATAATAAATTCATACATTTTTCAGTGCGTGCACAATGCTGAGGAAGAGTAATGCACTATAATTTACATGTAGCACATTTGCATACTCGATTCTTGTAGGGATATTATGAATGTTTTATGAAAGAAATTTTATATGAAGTGCAGTGTATATATAATATTAAAGGGAGGTACAGCGAAGTTCTTATATTTACAATAAATTGCTACATTTGATGATAATACAGTATTGAGCCTCTCAATGAGAGAGTGGTATTGAGGTAAATTTTCAATATGCAATTGCATTTATGAAATCAATAACATAAATTATTATGGAAGCACAAAGAAGAGTATACTTTCATTATATGCACATATCTTATCATCTCTTGAAGATGTATACATTGTTTGTACTTTATTACTCGTAGTATCAATAGATTAATTAGTTTTTTATTTATCATTGAGAATATCGTGTAATTATAGTGAATTCTTCTATTCAGTTAACTTGTTCTATCTATCGATACTATAATAATTATCAGGTGTCGTATACATATATACGGAAAGATTTTTCTCTTACAAGCAAAGTTATCCAGATGTTCAATTAGTTTTGAAAAAGTATGACGGTTAGAAATTGTAGTATCCTATCTTCTATTAATTACAATGAGTGCCATTTCTTCGGAAAATTTGATATTCGTTATAAAGAGTGGAGTTAAAGTCTAAAGTGCCGTAAGCGGTTCTGAAAAAGGGTTTAAATGAAACTTTTTCGTAAATTTTTTTTACTTTTCCATTCCTCTAACGAATATCAAATTTTCCGAGCGAATGATACTCATTTTTAGTTAATAGGATACTATAACTTTTAACTTTCTAACCGTTACTTTTTCAGAACTAATTGACATCTGGGTAACTTCCCTCGTTAGTATTTACTCTTAAAATGGTAATCATAAAAGACAACTTATTTTAAAGAATTTTATGTGATTCTTCCTGATTTGTTAATTTACTGAAAAGTACAATAAAATTTTAAAGTATGTTAAACAGTTCATGATTTTTTATTGTTTTAAATAGAACAAATGCTAAGTAGTGGTAAACATGTGAAATATTTTATATAAATATTGCAATATAGAATATTTTCAATTTGACTTAGTCGCTCGCGATTATAATAATTTTATCATGCAATATAGTAATTGATCAGCTATGTCCGATTACGTTCTTCCCAAAAATCTTTAAAATGCAAAAAAACATACTTTAATTTTATTATTTAAAAAATAATTATGTTATTTTTAATAATGTTATATTGGTATATCTTTTCCGTATTGCGGAAAAAATATGTGAGGAATAAGATCTTACCCAAGTTTACCCTATGATTCACACATGTTTTATTATTTGGACGCGCAATTATAATGTAAATTTCATATGAATATATGTATATATACAGAGTATTCCAGAGCGATCGTACCAGGTTAATTTCTTGAAAAATATGCATTTTCGTGAAAAATGTTTCAGACAAAAGTTTGTCGACTTCGAGGGGAACATAAGAGGGTACCATTAATTTGACCTTGGGTGGCGTCACCAAGGCCTGGTCAAGGTCACGTCGATTTTTTAAAATAGAACCTCCTATTTTTTATTACATTTTTTTGTAGTTTACCTCGAGAGCTTTTCAAAACATTATAATGAAATGTTTTTTTGTTAAGTACTTTACAAGTTATGGAGCTTGAAAGTTACAGTACCGCCGGCATTAGCATTACGCAAGGTGTCCGACCGATGGCTAAAACCTCTTGAATGTTGTTCAGGATCATGTCCTGGATAACATTTGTCAAGATCAAGGCTATTGGAAATTGTACCTCTTATTTTCATTTTTACGTAGAAATGAATTTTTAGTGCGAAAATCAAAACAAGAGGAATAATCTCCAATGGCCTTGATCTTGACAAATGTTATTCAGAACATGATCCTGAACAACATTCAAGAGGTTTCAGCCGTCAGTCGAACAACTTGCGTAATGCTAATGCCGACTGAACTGTAACTTTTACACCTTATAACTCAAAATGTACTACATGAAAAAATATTTTATTATAGTGTTTTGTAAGGCTCTCGAGGTTAGCTACAAGAATATTTAATGAAAAATGGGGGGTTTGAAAAATTCAACTTGACCATTCCCTGATCTTAACAACGCCGCCCAAGGTCAAACCAATGGTACCCTTTTATGTCCCCCTCGAAGTCGATAAACTTTTGTCTGAAACATTTTTCACGAAACTGCACATTTTTCAAGAAATTAGCCTGGAACGGTCGCTCTGGAAACACCATGTACGAGTATATGTCCCTCGTATATATTTCTATACTTCAAATCATATTGCTAATTACTAAGTTTACACGGCTCGATTTACGTCGAAATTATAACATCGATTACGAAGCTGGCTAATCATAATTATTCCTCTGAAGAATGGAATGACTGTGATTGATCAGTTTCATTACATGTTCGATGTTATAACTCGATGTAAATCAAGCTGTGTAAACGTAGTCAATGACAGGAGTGCAGTTTGTGATATGATATGATTAAATTAATTTTATGTGAAAAATTGATTTGGAAAGAATGATTTGAAAAAGACAATTAATGCAACTAACTTAAGAAACTCTTTTATTTCGATCTATATTAATTAATGTTTACTAATGTGTGGAAAGAGTTATGAGAATACGAAACTTTTGTGCTAACAATATCATACTTCTTTTATGCAAAACATAATATTATATATTGATGTAATCAAAAATTAGAAGAATTTATGCAGATTTACTATTCAATTTTTGACTCCATTGTCCTCTATAAATATCATTCGCAACGTCATTAAATAAGAAAAAGCTGTTGATACGTACTAAAATTCATAAAACAGTATTATTAGTTTGCATTTTATTGAGTTTGTATAAAAAATATATGAATAATTAAGTTATATATATAATTTTCGGACAATCAAGAGCATTAATGCTGGTATGCTTCCTTTCAAAGATTAAATTTTTTATAACACTTAAAAAATACATTCTTTCTTATGTACATATATATATACTCTTTAAAAATGAATTAGTGTATTATTACTGATTACATTAGTTGTAAGTGTTGTGACGTGACGTTCTTTCACCGTCCGTCACAAGGGTCATTCGACCTGGCCCAAGTAGCGCGGCAAATTTGTCCTGTGTCCTCCCGACGCGGAGGGCGGGCGTGCCGACGCTTATTGCGATTTTCGGACGAAAACGCGGAGATTTTTGTCGTCGCGTTTCGCGTAGCATTTCTTTTTGTGAATTTGTCTAAGAATTTTTAGTATCGGCGGCTGCGGTAGGTGATTTAATGTGCGACACATTCCACCACCTCGAGGAGGCGGCCAAGACGGAGAGAGACGACCCCGTTGGAGGTCCGAGGCCACCCAGAAGAGGGGGTAGCGCACAGGTGATACCGTTCCATACTGTCTAATTAGCGCCCTGAGCGAAACGTGTTTGCTGAAGCCGAATTCTTTACAGGCGACTATGCCGCGGGAGCGACGAAGGCGGCGTGAGGGGATGGCCACCCTCTGCCATAGAACGAGCGAGGACCCCGCTTACGGAAACCTCTGCTGAGAGGAGACCTCGAGTCCGGAGGCCGAGCGTGTCGGCC